CTTGTTCTTAAGGGCCGCAGTATGTGTACAGAAAGTCCTCGGCACCTCTGAGTTTTGGCTTCCTCACCTGTAGAAACAGAACTTTAAAACTGTGTTCTCAAGCTGTTGTATAAAGCTCCCCCCCTCCCCGCCCACCCAACCCCAATGCAATAGATAGGGGATATTGTCCAAATACACCAAAAGTCTTGGTGTGGTGGTACATGTCTAAGGAACGGAGAGAGGCAGGGAGGGAGGCAGGCAGGCAGGCAGGCAGGCAGGCAGGAAGGGAGGTTGGTTTCTACCTGTCTTTTCCTTAGCCCAGTTCTTATACCCCCTTTAAATTCAGTCCCCAATGGCATTACCTTTGACAGCCTGTGGTTCCCTGACCTCATATGACAACCTATTAGTCACTGTCACACTACAGAGTGCTTGGTGCCTGGGTGTTTCCCTGTCTGTTAGTTCCAGGCTGTGAGCCTGCTAAGAGCAGGGACATCCTTATTCTTGTACCGAGGTATTTGGCATGGTATTTAACACCCAGTAGACCACTGCCATCTCCCTCTCTCGGGGTCTCACCCAGGCTTCTGGTTTGGTCTACACTTGTGCATCTTAAGCTGCATGGTTCCAGCCGAGCAGGAAGGTGATGACGTAGAGGACGCCTTGGGCAGGGGTCAGGAACAGGTTCCTTTGGACCAGCTTCTAGACTGTTGCAGGCATGTCTTAGAGGAACCCCAGGAGTGTGGCACAGCACCCTGGCTGGGTTCCCTCCCCAGTGCCGTCACCATTCCACACTGCAGCCAAGGACAGGCACAAAAGGATAGATCTGTGATGACAATGAGCCAACAGGCTACTGTCAGTGGATAACAACTGTTGCTATGGGGGTACATTACATCACTCTGCTCTCAGTGATGAGTCCCTTTGCTGTCCCTGATTCCGTCACACCTTTGGGTTTTTGCTTCTGTAGCTGAGAACGCCCACACAGAGCCCCTTACACAGCCCCGTTCTCAACTGAATGCAGAGGTCACCCTAAAACTGAATGCAGAGGTCACCCTAAAGCCCAGTGCAGCCTCATGTTGTCTCTATGCCTCATTTATGGTTTGCCAAGTGTCCCCTCTGTGCCAGGCTTGAGTAGCTCTCAAGAGGGACTGATAAGGGACCAAGCCTTCACGAGGAGAGATGACTTGCTGGAAGGCTGATGTCTGTGGGTGGCCAAGATAGGGTTCTTAGTCCCCACAGGTGACTCAAGTAGAGCACATCACCGTCTTCCTGAAGCTCATCTGTCAGCCGAATTTCCTAACCAGTTAGCATTCCTGTTGTAGAAACCAGTATGTTCACCACTTCTTTTTAAAAATGTATATATGTATGAGTATGTATACATATGTGTGTGTGTGTGTGAGAGAGAGAGAGAGAGAGAGAGAGAGAGAGAGAGAGAGAGAGAGAGAGAGAGAGAGAGAGAGAGAGAGAGAGAGAGAGAGAGAGATCCTGGAGGAACAATCTGTCAGAAGGCAAAGGAGAAATTATTCCTGCCCCGAGCCCAGCCCCACAAATACATATTTAGCTCATTTCCAAATTTTCTTTTATTTCCTGATATTTAATTTTTTGTAATTCTTTAATTCAATGCTTACAAGATTTGGCAGATAGAAACAGGATGGAGTGGGTTGGGAGTGAATCTGTGTGGGAAGGGAAGATGCGAAGAGAAAGGATAATTGATAGTTGGGATGTGCTAAAATTAGAGTTATATAATGAGCCTTCTTTCGGTTGGTGAGACATCTTGTTTTTTCAGATGGATGTTGAAAAGCTAGGCTTCCTCTAATGCTGAAGCAAGGGAATCTGCAATAGTATGGCTATAGGGTTTCAATATAAAATATTAAACAACTACAGCGTTCTCAGTGCTTAGGAGCACTGATCAGTTCCCAGCACCCATATGGGCGCTCAGCACAGTCAGTAACTCCAGCTCCAGGGGGATCTGACACCCTCTTCTGGCCTCTGTGAGCATTGCATACACTTGGTGTACACACATAGGCTGACACTCATGCATATAAAAATAAATTAATCTTTTAAAGGAATTAAATAGGACATGCTCCCTATTGGTGGAGGCTTGTGTAAAAGGCCTGTAAGGTTTCAGAAAATTGGTTTTTTTTTTACTTTTTCAGTATGTCTTATAAGGACTGTGTCTGCAGGAGGCTGGTGCCTTGCTGTTTGTGGAGTAATCCCTCAGCATGTCCGTGGGTGCTTCAGCCAGAGCACTGAGCACTGAGGAGCACTGAGGAGCACCGAGGAGCACTGACACAGCATTTTACAATGCACAAGAGCTTTTACCATTGAGACTTTCTTTTATTTCAGTATTTTTGCTTCATTTGTTTTTCTAGGAGCCAGGTTCTCACTATATAACCCTGGCTAGCTTCAAACTCACAGAGATCCACCTGCCTGGGCCTCAGGAGTGCTAGGATTACAGACATGTACCGCCATGCTGAAACATTGGGATTGTCATAGGGACGACACCTTTGCTCTTTCTTCCCAAGGGGTGCTAGCAAGGGTCAGGCTTTCTTGGAGAAATGACTGAGTTCATGGTTGGCATAGTGCAAGAAGCCTGAATTGGGAGCTCCCAAAGGTAATGAAATGTGTCAGGAAGTCATAGACCCTGCGTGATGGGGCTTCTCCTGGGCCACAAGGACAATTTGGACATTGGAGAACAGCACAGAAAAGGCAATAATGTCTCTCAATAGTGGACAACTTTCCTGGCACACCCAAGGTTGAAGATGTGGCTCAGGGGTGGAGCGCTTGCCTGGTACAGACAAGGCCCTAGGCTCATTGCCAGCATGGAGAAAAAGAAGTAATAGAAACTGATTGTGACCTGGTGAATACAGTAGAATCCACAGAGTCCACACCAATGTCAATAATGAACCGTTAGACCACCTGGGAGAACCAGCCAATGGGTGTGGAAGGAATGATGGGCTTGGGGAAATCACCAGTTGTCAACCAGCAGTGCGGTAACCGCCATTGGTGCGTGGTACCATGAGGGTGTTGGAGTTGGAGAAGCAGAGGTTGGTGGGTAAAGCTCGGCTGGCACTGGGCTTGCCTCCAGGCATGGAGTCACATGTCTGTCACCCCAGCACTGGAGAAGTGGAGGCCGGGACACCAGAAATCCAAGGCCATCTTTAGTCGCATAGCAAGTTTGAGACCAGCCTGAGTTAAGTGAAACTCTGTCTTAAGAAGCACTCCCCAAAAGTTGGAGGAGGAACAGCATATTTATATAGTCTCAGAAGCCATCCCCATATGGAACTTTTTTGTGACAGAAGGTGGAATGCTAACTGGTGGATCACCTTCACCAAGTGGCCCAAGTCACCATCAACAGCAGAGGGACAGATGATAGCATGTGCCTCTAGAAAGTCGGTTGTCTCCCTCTGCTTCCTGACAAGAGTCCCTGGGCAGAAACTCATCATGAGTGAGCACCAGACAGGGACTAGAGCCCCGAGAGATGCAGCGAGTGACCTGAAGCTTACCTCCACTGTAAAACGGTGTTGTTGGGGTAGCACAGCTCAGCAAGGCCTGTAGATTAGCTGGCATTGATCCCTGATTATGTATGCTATATATTATATGTAGTATATATAATGGGTCTATAAGTAGCTCTTTGGACTGAGAGGAAGTAAGAGCACAAGAAGGGAGGCAGGGAAGAAGGGCACATTTCTCATAGCCCTGTCTTCCAGTTATAGGGAGAGGGAAGTCCCCAACAGCCTGCCCCTGGTTCCTCCCATGGAGGAGCAGCTCAACACCTCACTGCCCTGACTCGGGGAACCAGGCCTTCCCTGAGCTTGCAGAAAGGCTCAGGAGCCCAGGCCTATCCTGGCTCAACCACTAACCAACAAGAGAGTGGTACCCTCAGCTGCCTGCCATGTAGGGGAGTCCCTGAACCCTGCAGACCTCCATCTCCCATCAGCTTCGTGATGTGATGCACTCTTCATTTCCTCACGTTACTTGGCTAGCATCAGCCACACCTCTAAGCCCACGGGCTATTTCTTGGCCCCGGGAAAAGGACACAGTTCCAGCCCCTGAGAGACTGCTGTGTGGAGCTCTGTCCTGGCACAGTGACATCATGAGCAGACTCTGTCCAGACTTTCAGGACAGGGTTGATTTCTGTGACCCCGGTTCTCAGCAACCTCACATATGCATCATTTGCTCAGTGCTTGTTCAGTGATTCCTGCAGCTCCCACCATGCCCCGGGCTTTGCTAAGCACAGAGACAGTCCACCATGCCCCGAGGTTTGTTAGGCACAAGGACAGTTAGATATTGCTTTCTGCCAGGCAGCAAGGTACACAGTATAGGTTGTTTTCCCTTGTAAGTAGGAGAGTCTGGGGATGGACAGTTCCTTCAGTAAAGCATTTGTCATGGGACCACTAAGACCTGAGTTCAGTCCCCAGCACCCCCATAAAACTGCCTGGTGTGGTAGCATGTGCTTATAACCCCAATGCAGGGGAGGCAGAGACAGGAGGATTGCTGGTCAGCCCACCTAACCTAATTGGTGACTTCCAGGCCAAGTGAAAGACCCTGTTTCAAAGACGTAGATGTTATTCCTGAGGATGACACCTGAGGTTGTCTTTTGGCACACACACACACACACACACACACACACACACACACACACACACACACACACTGAAAGGTAAAATCCTCAAGTTCTAGCCTGACTCCCAGCAAGTTATATGGACTTGTATTATCCAAAGAATCTGTGTGAGCCTTGGTGAGCACCTGTTACACAGAGACAATAGCCTTACTTTGCTGTCAGCTCTGCCCATCTCTTGGGGCCAATAAGAAAGTCTACATAGTGCTCTAGAAAAATGACGTAGGCTTGTTAGTCTCGCAGCTGTCAGGTCATAAACACAAAAGAGTCCTGTGCTGCCTCTACCCTCTCTTGCAAGGCTTAAAAGTAAGAACGGGATACTGGGGAGCCAGAGGCTTTCCTGGGATGGGGGGGGGCTCACAGCTTGGGCCCGGAAGCGGAACTGATTGTGGCATTGTCCTTGCAGTGCACCAGGTGGCGGAGCGGGTGGAAGCCCTGGGCCAGTTTGTCATGAAGACCAGAAGGACCCTCAAAGGCCACGGGAACAAAGTCCTGTGCATGGACTGGTGCAAAGACAAGCGGAGGATCGTGAGCTCCTCACAGGTACTGCCTGAGGCCGCGGCACCGCACTCAGTGTGAGGCTGAGTATTCCCATCACACCGCTCAGAGGGAGGGAGCTGTCCCGTCCACGGCCTGTCTCCTCTCCATGACTTTGCTTATTCTCAGGGATGTGAGTTAACCCTCCTGCAGCACTGAAGTGGTATGTCAGTGTTCGAGCCCTTGTCTGGCATGCACTGTGCCTTGGGGTTGACCCCCCAGCACTGGGCAAACGGATGCTCTGGCACCCTGGAGAATGTCACTCACAAGGTCTCATTTGTGGGTGGAGCTGTTTTTAAAAGTCTCTCCCCACTTAGAGGGGGCATAAACGACTGAGATCCCACTAATGACTTTTTTTTTTTTAATATAATGGTGTCTGAGTTTTGGTTCTTGGTTTTTAACAGGGTCTCACTGTGTAGTTCTGGCTGGCTTGGAAATTGCTAATATAGACCAGGCTGGCCTTGAACTTAGATCCACTTGCCTCTGCCTTATGAGTACTGGGATTAGAGGTGTGCACCACCACACCCAGTAGTTTATTAATTCTTATCATGTTGATAAGAAGAAATTAACATAACTATTTGGAATGTCTAATTTCTTTTTTTTTTTTTTTTTTTTTTTTGGTTTTTCGAGACAGGGTTTCTCTGTGGCTTTGGAGGCTGTCCTGGAACTCGTTTGGTAGTCCAGGCTGGTCTCGAACTTACAGAGATCCGCCTGCCTCTGCCTCCCGAGTGCTGGGATTAAAGGCGTGCACCACCAACGCCCGGCGGAATGTATAATTTCTTGTAGTGCTCATGCAGTTTACTTCTCTGTCTTGTATGTTCACTGCTACATGACATGTCACTCCAAAACTGAGATAGAAGATTTAGCTCTGAGGCCCAGCACTTGCCTGACAGGCACAAAGCCCTGGGTTCCATCCCCGGTCCTGATGAAAATTACCCCCAAATGAAGCAGTCTGGCACAAGGACGTCATATGTTGCAGGGTTTGTGAGGGTTGACACCTGGGCATTGGTATTTACTCCACTGCGAGGTTGCTAAAGATGTAGGCATGGCTACAGTTGACTGACTGTGTGACATCTCTCAGGGTGCCCTGTTCACACGTCTTCTGGATGCCTTTGTTTCTTGCCACGTGAACCTTTCCGTGGTTTCTGCTCACAGCTTGGTAGCTGACCTCCCTTACAGCAGGTTACCAAAGAGAGGGGAAGAGAATCAGAGCAGAGCTCTTTTGTGACCTAGCCTTAGAACTGGCATTCCATTTTTCTGTTATGTTGTATCGGGCGCATAGAATGTCCTGATAAAATAAGGAGGGAAACTGACTCCCTTTGGTTTAATAATTTTATGGGTATTTTTAGGTTTAGATATTGTCTTGTTAGGTTTCTATTCCTGTGATAAAATAATATCAGGACCAGAAACAACTTGGGGAGGAAAGGGTATTTCAGCTTACGTGTTCCAATCATAGTCTACCATGAAGGGAATGCAAGGCGGGAACTCAGGACAGGAACCTGGAGGCAGGAACCCAGGACAGGAACCTGGAGGCAGGAACCCAGGACAGGAACCTGGAGGCAGGAACTCAGGACAGGAACCTGGAGGCAGGAACTCAGGATAGGAACCTGGAGGCAGGAACTCGGGACAGGAACCTGGAGGCAGGAACCCCAGACACAATCCTGGAGGCAGGAACTGAGACAGGAACCTGGAGGCAGGAACCCAGGACAGGAACCTGGAGGCAGGAACTCAGGACAGGAACCTGGAGGCAGGAACTCAGGACAGGAACCTGGAGGCAGGAACCCAGGACAGGAACCTGGAGGCAGGAACTGAGACAGGCCATGAAGGATCACTGTTTACTGCTAAACTCACACCAGAGTTGTTGTTCTTGGTGGTTGTCTCATGGTACTGACATCTTCAAAACATTGATTTCTCCCCTACAACTTGGCTGCACCTTCACTAGTGGCCTCTTCTGGGCTCTCTTCGGGGCCTATGACACTGCCGCATGGTAGCATGCCTTAACTTCTCTTTTTGACCCTTCAGCCCTGGGCTTTCCATGACTACCAAGGCTGAACTCTTCCAATGGCCTCTCCTTCAGGGACTCCAAGCCTCAACTGTTCTGCATGACCCCTTCATGCCTTCAAAACCAGAACCACCTGAATGACTCTTACGCATTACCGAGTTCGGCTGCCTGCATGAGGTACAGCCTTGGCTGCCTCTGGACCACAGCCTCCATGTACTGACCCTGAGGAAACACTTCCGGGAAAGTCTCTTATTAATCGCCACCAGGCATGGTAGCATGTACCTGCAATACCAGCCCTTGAGAGGCAGAGGCAGGAGGATCAGGAGTTCAAGGTCATCCTTGGTTACATGAGTTTAAGAGCAGCCTGGGCTACCTATGACCTTGTCTCAAACAAACAGAAACTCTTGAACTGATTGATATATGTAAAGGGACGCCTTTTTCTTTGAGAGAAGCCTTCCTGCCAGCCTGGTTCTAGAGCCGCATCAGTCCCAAATAAACACACAGGAGGCTATATTAATTATGAAGCTGTTGGCCTTGCTTGTTTTTTACTAGCTAGCTCTGACTTAAGTAATTACCCCATAATTGTTAATCTATGTATTTCTCTTACCGGAGACATTTCCAGGCTTCCTACCCCATGGCGTTACATCTCGACTCTCCTGTGTTTCTCCTTCCCAGAGTCCTCCTGGACTCCTAGTCCCTCCTATCTTGGTTCCCTATTGGCTCAACAGTGCTTTATTGACATAAGACTTCCCCAACAGATATATTCTGTAGATCAGTATAGGGTTTCCCACACATCTGGCTCTGGTTCAGTTCTTTCAAACAAGGGCCCATCTTTTCTTAGTAACCTTTGTAAGGATGAAGCTGTTCACATTCTGGGGTGGATAGATTTATATTGCTTTTGCAGAGGACCCAGGTTCAGTTCTCATCACCCACTTCAGGTAGCTCTATAACACCAGCTCCAGGGGATGTAGTGACCTCCTTTGGTCTCTGTGGACACTGCACTTACTTACACATACACACATTCTCTCTCTCTCTCTCTCTCTCTCTCTCATACACACACACACACACACACACACACACACACAGGTAAATAAAAATAAAATCTTTTTAGAAAGAAAATGTACATGCTCTGGACGGCCCACCTGCTGTAGTGTCTCTGGGTAGGACAAGTGTTATTAATTTGCTGCGTGACCTGTAGATCTAGCAGATCATGTTGCACTTGCTTTTTATTTTATAGCCATAACAATTTTACCACCTATGCATATTAAAAACACCAGAGAGAGGAACAAAGTTTTGACTCCCTGTTTCAACCATTACATTAATTAAATTTTATTTATTGTTTAGTTTTTTTAGACAAGGTCTTGCTTTGTAGGCTAAACTGTCCTCATATGCGCCATCCCCCTGCCTCAGCCTCTCAAGTGCTGAGATTGCAGGTACACGTTGTCCAGCTTACCATTTTAGTGCGTTTCTGTTTAGTCTTTACTGACACAAAGTTATTTGACTTAGAAATCTTTACAAGCATACCGAGTGCGGGGATTTCCTGTCACTCACATACCTCCTTTTAAAAGACAAGGTCTCTGGCTTCCCAGGCTGGCCTCAAAATCACTACCTTGAATAACCTTGAACTATTGACCTTCCTGCCTCCACCTCCCAAATGCTAGGATCACAGGTGTGCACCCCCACACCCAGTTTGTGGAGTGCTGAGGACTGAACCCAGGGCTTCCTGCATGCCAGGCAAGCACTCTAGTGACTGAGCTACACCCCCAGCCTGTGTACCACTCCTACTGAGAAGGAAAGGGAGGCAAGGCCACACGGCCACTTCTGAGGACACTCTGTGCATCCCCCTCTGTGAGAGGTGTGGGGTGTGCGGGAAACACTGAAGATTCTGGGGCAATCTATGGATTACCAGCAACCTTCTCCCTTTAACAAAGAGGATTAATCACCCTGATGAGTGGGGATAGGGTTTGGGGGTGGAGGTAAATTCTCCACAGGCATGTGGGTGCCTGGCAAGTACATCAGCTTGTGGGAGAGACTTCGGAGTGCACAGTGGGTAGGCGGTGGGAAAAGGCGGGGGGGGGGGGACCACCTCGTTGAGTCAGCGTCCCTGTCTACGGAGTGTGGGCTCTAGGTGCAGAGGACCCTAGTGTGCAGACTCAGAGCCCGTCGTTTTATAAATGGCTGGCTCTCCTAAACCACCCTGTGCATCCTGTTTGACCGTTTAGGCAGAAATTAGATCTAGAGACACATGAGTCCAGGGATGTTAAAGGTCGCCAAACTATGCACTTTGACCTCAGCCACTCTTAGCGTCACCCTGACTTCTCCCACCAGATGTGGTAGAGAAAGGTACTGTCACTTTAACATCTGTGCTTCTGCCCTAAGAGGTATTTCCCAGGCCATCTCCCTCTCTTCACCACCTTTACTTCCCAAAGGCTTGAGAGATTAAAAAGCTGAACCTGAGCCAGGCAGGGTGGTGCATGCGCATAAGCCCAGCACTCAGAAAGCCAGCAGATCCAGTGTTCGAGGTCATCCCCAGCTACGGGTCAAGGTCTAAGCCAACCCAGGCCACATGAGACCCTGTCCAATAGGAAAAAGAAAAGTGTCTGAGTCTTGCTTTCTCTCATTCCATCCAGACCCCCCGGCCCCCCCGCCCCCCCCTTCGTGCACGCAAAAAAAAAAAAAAAGAGTGTAAAGCAGGGAGCTGAGCCTTTATAAAGCTCTCTGGGAAACCCAGCCCCCACTCCCCCACCCCGCCAACCCTTCTTCACGTGAAGGTGGGAGGGGCTTGATCATTCTGGGTTTTGGCTGCCTCCCCTTGCTGCCCATCAGGACGCAGTGCCCTGAGGACTTCTGGGCCTTTACTGGTAAGAACACACTGGCAGGTGCCCACTCCTGAACTGTTGTCTCTTCTCTCACCAGGATGGGAAGGTGATTGTGTGGGATTCCTTCACGACTAACAAGGTGAGGTGTCCCTCCCTGCCACATCCTGGGCCTCGGGTTCCCAGGCTGGCTGCCCTCTAGACCCCCTGTTCCCATGGAAACAGCAACTCTGCCAGCACCCGGAGCCTCACCCCCAAGAGGACCACGATCCCAGGCCAGATAGGTCAGAGAGAGAGAGACGCCTGTTAACCTGCCACACCTGACTCTGCTTTATATTTCTCTTCTGAGTGATCACGAAAAGGATCTTCTTCCCCCTCCTCCTCTGGCCAGGGCCTGTAACACTGTAGAACTGAGCACATTTGGGGAGGAAGGAGGCTTCAGAGGGATCAGGCCGACACGCTGAGGTGTGGGGCAGGCAGTCTGAGTCCAAGGCAGGAGTGCTCTTGGCACGCACACCTCAGGTAGATAGATCTAAGGTTAGACTGTTTCCATCAGACAGAGACCAAACTCTAAATGCAGGTGTGGATTCAGGCAGGGCCCACCAACATCTATACGAAATGGCGCCGCATGCTAGGTGTAAGTGTCAATATCTGTCTGAGAAGAAAGGCTTGTTTCCCACTGTGCAAAGGGAAACCCCGTGCATGGTCTACATTATTAAACGAGGGCCATTTTCCAGGGCAGAGTCACTAATGGTCAGGCCCCTGGCAAATGATAAGAAATAGTGAAGTAAACTGTTGCTGTTTCTCACTAGCCTCCTTTGGTAGTGTGAAGCCCACTTCCATCCCTTGCTGCTGCCAAGGGTGATTGTATTTTGTAAAAGCTCACACGTTAAGACCTGTGTGGAAGTGCATGTTACTCGCTTCTGATTGGTGCTAATGTTTCAGGAGCATGCGGTCACCATGCCCTGCACGTGGGTGATGGCGTGCGCTTATGCTCCATCGGGATGCGCCATCGCTTGTGGGTAAGTTTTCCAAATGTCCCCTTAGCCACAAAATACTGTTTTTTGCTTTGTATAGGCAAATATCCCAAAGTCCAAGCAATCTGTAACAGTTCTGATACAGGCCTGTACTTCTTTTTTTTTTCCGAGACAGGGTTTCTCTGTGTAGCCCTGGAACTCGCTCTGTAGACCAGGCTGGCCACGAACTCAGAGATCCCTGTGCTTTCTAACCATGAAAAACAATAAGTAAGTGGCTTTTAGAAACGGCTGGCCAAGAGCTGTCCTGAACAATGAAAAACAGCCAGAGGTCCAGGGAGATGGCTCAGTGGGTAAATGGATGTGAGGACCTGAGTTCAGACCCCATCGCTGCATGCAAAACTGGACGGAGGCCCATGAGGTGGCTCAGAGAGTAAATGTGCTTGCCCGCCAGCTGATGACCTGAATCCAATCCCAGGGCCCTCTGTGGGAGGAGAGCAGCGACTCTGGAAAGTCACTAATAACACTTTTCAATGAAGAGCTTTACATTGGTTTGTTTTGCGTGTACGATGTTTGCCTGCATGTATGTGTGTGCCTTGTGTGCATGTCTAGTGCCCACACAGGTCAGAAGAGGACACTGGATGCTCAGGGACTGAAGTTACAGACAATTGTAAGCCAATATGTGGGTGCTGAGAAATGAACCCAGGTCTTCTGCAAAAGCAATAAGGGCTTCTTAAAAAATTTTTTCTAACAGTTTTGTTGATATTTTGCATTTGCTACTTTTTGCTTATTTAATTTTGAGTATCTGTACAGTTTATGCATCACATGCATACCTGGTGCCCCCAGAAGTCAGAAGAGAGCTTTAGAGCCCCTGCAACTGGGGTTATAGATGGTCGTGAACTGCCACGTGGGTGCTGGGATTGGAAGCGGGTCCTCTGTGGGATCAACCAATGCTCTTAACCACTGAGCCATCTCTCCAGCTGTTAGGTCCTTAGCTCTTTTGCTCCTTATGAGCTGATAGGGAACCCTTGCTAATCTCTCCGCTGTGATAAACATGCAACCGATACATAAGGAATGTCCTTATTTGGGGGAGGTATAAATGTGCATCTTGATTTCTGAAGAAGTAAAATCCATGTTTGCATTTAGATGGTTCTGCATTTGCTCCCACACACTTGTTTGTGAATCCAAGGAAAGAAATATCCAGTTTCATATTTGTTAGGTTTTTTCCTTCAGTTTTGACTGTAGATTAGAAGGTCTTGCTGGGTGGTGCTGGTGTATATCTTTAAGCGGAGCACTCGAGGCAGAGGCAAGCGGATCTCTGTGAGTTAGAGGCTGGCCTGGTCTATGAAGCAAGTTCCCAGACACCCAAAACTAAACAGTGAAACCCTGTCTGGAAAAACAACCAAGCAAAAAGGTCTTCATGGTCAAAAGGGAGAGGTTTTAATGTAGGAAACTGCTGAAGTAAAGCATTTGCAAAGCCAGTATAAATGACAAAGGGTCTTTTTCATTCTTCCATGCCAACCTTTGGCTCATCTTTCTTCTGTGCCAGAGGTCTGGATAATAAGTGTTCCGTGTATCCACTGACATTTGACAAAAATGAGAACATGGCTGCTAAGAAGAAGTCAGTGGCTATGCACACCAACTACCTGTCAGCCTGCAGCTTCACCAACTCGGACATGCAGGTAAGAGCTCAGGTCACCCAGGGGCACGCCCCATGCAGAGCAGGGTAAGGCATCCCCTGTGTGGTGCAGGCTCCAGAGCCTTGGTCATCATTCCTAATAAAGTCAGAAAGAGGAGAACCAGGAGTACTGAGGTCCAGTTAAACTCTGGGTGTTTGGTTAGGTGAAGGTCAGAGTGCAGCCTGTAAGGCAGGCAGCATCACACTTCACAGCTAGAGAGTGTCAGAGTTGCGAACTACATGCATCTCTCTGTCCTTGTTTTACCCTTTAATTTTTAATGTTCTTTTTAGATTTATTTGCGTTATGTGTATTAAGTGTTTGCCCGCATGTATGTCTGCGCACCACATGCATGCAATGCCCACAGAGGCCAGAAGAGGGCATCAGATCCCCTGGAGTTATAAATGGTTCTAAGCCATGTGTGGCCTCTACAAGAGCAGCCAGTGCTCTTAATCTCTGAGCCATCTCTCAGCCCTTACATTCTAATCTTAAAAATAAAAATTGGGGCTGGAGAGATGAGTCATAACAAGCTGGGCATCCCAAAAGGTGCCTGTAACTCCAGCTGTGAGAGATCTAACTCCTTATTTTAACTTCAGCACTTAACACACACACACACACTCACACATACACACTTTCTCCCTCACACACACTCCTCACATAAATAAAAAAAAAGTCTTTCAATTAAAAAAAAAAAAGAACCTGGCTTAGGACCTGGTAGTGCTGGACTGGAAGCCCAGGAAGCTGAGGGTCTGCAAGTGAGGCTTGGTGAGGAGGCTGTTAACCTTGGTAAGTAAGATGTATGGCTGACCCCATCTCTTCTTCCAGCACAGTGTTTCCTGGAGCAAGCAGCTAGAGAGAGAGAGAGAGAGAGAGAGAGAGAGAGAGAGAGAGAGAGAGAGAGAGAGAGAGAGTGTGTGTTTGTGTGTGTGTGTGTGTGTGTGTGTGTGCATGGTGTACTCTGTGGAAGATCAAGCCTTTAGCTAACCTTCCCCAATGCTCTCTTTCTCCGTGCAGATCCTGACAGCCAGCGGTGATGGGACTTGCGCCCTGTGGGATGTGGAGAGTGGGCAGCTGCTGCAGAGCTTCCATGGGCACGGGGCTGATGTCCTCTGCTTGGACCTGGCCCCCTCAGAAACCGGAAACACGTTCGTGTCTGGGGTAAGGACACGGGAAACCCCTGGGGTCTTTTGTCCACTGGGGAGGCAGACTCTGGCCGTTCTTCTTCTGCCCTCGGGTCTGGTCCTGTCTCTTTCCTAGAAGCGTCTGCAGCTCCCAGCAGCTGCAAACCCCTCCAGACTTCCTTCCACCACTGACACTCAGAAGTGTCTGTAGAGATCTGGAATGTTCTGTTTGAGTGCTGCAACTTTGGGTGTGTGTCTGTTACAGTGTATCTAAGAGTCCTCAAATAAAGTTTGCGTCTTAGCTCAATCAGAGGCTGCTTAGCAATGCATGCTAAGAGGAGCCAGTGCTGGGATATCTCAGGGCTGGGGTGGAGGGGGCTGGGGGAACACTCCCATCCCACATGTCTTGGCCGCCATCCACCTGTCACCCTCAGGTGCAGGAATCGGAAGAGGAACTATAGGAATCGGCATACATGAACCTAAGTTAACATACTTCACAGTAGCACTCGCTGCCTCGTCCCCCAAGAGAGTACCCACACTAGATGAAAGAGTTTGTAGGGTGTGTTGTGTAGTTGGGAGGGGTGTTTCTGCACAGATTTGGGATAACGCAGAACTAGACTGGCTGTGCCAACCTGCAAACCTGCCTGCCTCCCTTGCCCAGGAGATGGTGGTGATTTCTGTAGCTGAACAGCACAAGGCTCTCAGCCCCTGGGAGTCAAGCCACTGGGAGCCTCCTGTTGCTCATTGGGAGAGACCCTGATTTCCTTCTCCTTTTGGCCATCCATGTATATCATCTGCCTGTGCCTTTGTATAACCGCATTGCCCTTGCTCAACCACACTGCTCTCTTGAAGTGACGACCATTATCTCCGGAGACTAAATTGTCTCTTCGCATACATGAGCTCCATTCACTTTAGTGAACTTCCCAGGCTCTCCAGTCAATAGCTGGCTGTGGATTGTCAGATCTGAAGGTCAGGTGACATTCTAAGCAATTGCCGGGCTTGTGTGTGTATGTGCGTGCGTACGTGTGTGCGTGTGTATGCTCTATACTGTAACCCTGTGGGTTACAGTGTCGCACAGGACACTGGCACTTTCTGTGATGGTGATCAGCTCTGGGAACTCCCCCATAGTCCCCTGCTTCCTGCCCTGGCGTCCTGTGTTTTCCTGAACTTCTTACCTCTTATAAGAGCATCTGAAGCCCAATGGAGATACTTGGATTTAGTTGGCTCTGTTCTCAGTGAATCTCGCAGGGTGCGGTACCCCATGACAGGTACTCCTAAAATGTTGCTGCACCTCTTCATACCTTTGAAACCAACTAACTTGAATGCTTTAAGCCATCAATTCATCTGACTGCTGAGAGAACTCCTTTTGCTATTCAGGCTCTGTGGGAATTTATCAAAAAAACTGCCAGAATCTTCATAACATAATATGGAAAACTCTCTGTTTGTAGGGTTGTGACAAGAAGGCTATGGTGTGGGACATGCGTTCTGGCCAGTGCGTGCAAGCCTTTGAAACTCATGAATCCGATGTCAACAGTGTCCGGTCAGTGAGTAAAATGCTGGAAATCCTCTGTCGTGGGGCTTTACTGGGGCCTAGATCTCTCTCCCTCCCTCCCTCCCTCCCTTCCTCCCTCCCTCCCTCCCTCCCTCCCTCCCTCCCTCCCTCCCTCCCTCCTTCCCTCCCTCCCTCTCTCTCTCTATCTCTCTCTCACACACACACCTACACACATGCATGCATTAGAAAATAAACTTTCCTATTCATTAGCGATTTTTTGACTAGCATCTCCCCAGGACAAGCTGTAGGGTGGAGGCCATTTGTATCCAGAAAGAAGACACACTGAAAAGAATGGGATGCATCTGGGTGTGGGCAGAGTGAAGTGGTTAAGGACACTTATTCAGGGCATGGAGCTCAGCTGGCAGAGTGCTTAACTAATGTACACCAAGCCCAGAGTTCTCTCTAGCATGGCGTAAAACCAGGTGTTGTGGCTCACTCCTGTACTCTCGGAACAGAGCAGGTGGAGGCAGGACATTCACATAGGGAGTTCAAGGTGAGCCTGGGCTACGTGAGGCCCCATCTATAATAAATAAATAATAGCCTGGCGCGCTCCTGCTTCTGACTTATAGCCTAGCACCCATACTTCCCACTGAGCACTGAAGCCGACAGTGGGAATAGCCGCTGTTCACTGACTGCCTTTTATTTGGCAGCAGGCCAACCCTTGGGACTCACTGCCCTGTTAGATCTTCACCAGGAAGACAGGCTTTGTAACCCTCACTGTCAGATGAGGAAACCTGGCTGAGAAAGTTGATGTCACTCTGCCCATCTGACTCTGTTGTCCCTGTGCTCTGAGCCACACTTGGGGATTGGGTGCACTACAGGGATCCTGCTTTGTCCGGTGCCTAGGGTGAGTGTGGGCTGTGACATTCGGCTCTCAGCAAGGCCGCGCCTCTGTCCCAGGTTCACTGGAGGAACATGAATGAGGCTGGGATCAAACTACATGAGACTCCCCTCCGGCCTGTGCAAAAGGCCTCCTGTGTCCCGGAAGTAGAGCTTCTAGGTCTGAGACCCTGAACCAGGATGCTTCTGAGGCAGGGGAATGGCTGGGGATGGCTGCTCCCTAACAGGCTTTTTACCAATTCTCTCTTCAGATACTACCCCAGTGGAGATGCCTTTGCTTCCGGGTCAGATGATGCAACGGTATGTTTCTCAGTTATTGAGAGCCCTTCGAGGCAGAGTGGAGAGATAATAGCTGTTTTTCTTTCTTTCTTTCTTTTTTTTGCAAAGGTAGCAAGGAAATTTTATTTAAAGTAAAGCAACAGAAGGGACCAGAAAAACGCCACAGGAAAGCTTCAGGCCTTTTATTTATGTACTTTTATGTTTTGATTATATGTATGTCTACACGCCACGTGCATGCTTGGTGCCCCTGGAGGCCAGAAGAGGGCACTGGAATACAGATTCCAGTGGATTCAGTGGAGGGACTGGATTACAAATGTGAGCCACCATCTGGGTGCTCAAACTCCCATCCCTCTGAATTAGCAGTCAGTGATCTTGACGGCAGAGCCATCTCTCCAGCCCTTTACCTTATTTGTCGTTTGTTTGTTTTTGTTTTCTGAGACAGGGCTTCTCTGTGCAACAGGCCAGATGCCCAGGGACTCACTTTGTAGGCCAGGCAGCCTGCCTCTGTCTTCCGCGTGCTGGAATTACAGGCGTGCACCACTATTGTCCAGCACTTTTATTTTTAAACAACTTATTTTATGGTTACAGAAGTCATGTGTAGTCCCTGGTTTAAAAAAAGTGAAGGAAATTAAATTATTCTCCTTTCCTAAGGAAAGCCACATACAGTTTAATGAATCTATTTGTATACCTGTCTTTTTTTATAATGACAGCTTATGTACATTTTACTGTGCCTAACAAGTACTTTTCACTCATTCATTCTCTTAATAATTGCCTGGTACTCCATACTACTGGAGTGCCATCATGTACTGAAAGAATCGATCTGGAGCAAGATCTTTCTTTTTTTTTTTGTTTTTTTGTTTTTTGTTTTTTTTTGTTTTTTTACAAGACAGGGTTTCTCTGTATTGTTTTGGAGGCTGTCAGTCCAGCCCGGCCTCAAACTCACAGAGACCTGCCTGCCTCTGCCACCTGAGTGCTGGGATTAAAGGCATGTGCCACCACCGCCCGGCAATGGAGCAAGCTCTTTCTAAGGTTTTTTTCCCTGTTAAGAACACTGCCCTAGGGGGCTGGAGAGATGGCTCAGCGGTTAAGAGCACTAGCTGTTCTTCTAGAGGTCCTGGGTTCAATTCCCTGCACCCACATGGCAAATGTTTGTAATTCCAGTTCCTGAGACTCTGATACCTTCACACCAATGCACATTAAATAAAGTTAAAATCAATTCAAAAAAAAAAAAAAGAACACTACCCTAAAGCCCAGCATGGTGGTACCTTGCTTGTAATCACAGCTGGAGGGAGGAGGAACAGGAGTTCAAGGTCATGCTTAGCTGCATGTACATAGCAAGTTCACCGCCAGCCTGGACTGCAAAACAACCTTGCTGTAAGTATTTCCGTGCCTCTCACTATTTAAAACTCTCAGGCATTAGTTGCTTACCTAAAAACAGATTCACTTCTCACAGTTTTGTTATTAGTGGCAAATTATATTGACATGTGTTTTTAAGAGAAAACATAATGTTATTTCTTGTTGTCCTTAACAAATACCAAATAGCCTATTAAATAGTAGGCTTTGCTTGGAGCTGCTGCTGCAGAAGACATTACAAGAGAAATTGTTGAGTTTTGATAATAATGACAATCTTAGGGCTGAAGAGATGACTCAGAGGTTAAGAGAGCTTGCTGCCATTCCAGAGAACCTGAGTTCAATTTCCAGCACCCATTTCAGGTGACTTAACCTCCGGTAACTCCAGTCCTGGGGTATCTGACACCCTCTTCTATCCTCCTCACACACCCATACACACACACACACACACACACACACACTCACACACACTCATAGTCATAAATAAAATATTTTTAAAGACTTATAATTATAAAATATATAATATATATATACATATATGCACACACGTTTTTGGCCATTGCATTTCCTGGAAATAATTACATTCTAAGGGTTCTGCTCCTAAGCTAATGTAATTTTATTTCAGACATCAACATGTATATAAAGATTTTTACATAAAAATGTTCATCGCATGGCTGCTGCCCAGTCCATTGCCCCTTGTAATATATTCAGAAGTCAGCTTTCCTCCACAAAAAAAAATGTTCCTCAGAGAATTATGTATAAAAGAGAAACTTAGTCATAAGGAGAATGTTGAGCTGGCCTTGGCCTCACAGGTTGAGACATAGCCACATGGAGAATATTGCACAGACATGTAAATCATCCTCTTTGAAGGCTAACTTTCGAAAATGCTTACCACATAATGTTGACAGAGACGGCAATGCAGCACCCAGCCCATCTATTTCCACACAGTCTTAGTCAGGTTTCTATTGCTGTGATGAAACACATGGCCCAAAAGCAAGCTGGGGAGGAAAGGGTTAATTCGGTTTACACTTTCCTATCACACAGTTCAGCATCAAAGGAAGTTAAGACGGGAGCGCAAACAGGCCAGGAACCTGGAGGCAGGAGCTGACACAGACCAGGGAGAGTTATTGCTTACTGGCTGGCTTCCCATGGCTTGTTCGGCCTGCTTTTTTATAGAGCCCAGGACCACCAACCCAGGGGTGGCCCCACCTACAATGGGCCGGGCCCGCCTCCATCAATCACTAATGAAGAAAATGCCCTACAGGCTTGCCTGCAGCTCAAACTTTTTCTTCTCCTCAGAGCTGAAGGCCAAACCCAGGGCCTTGCTCTTGTTAAGCAAGTGCTCTACCGCAACCCCTACAACCCTATCTTATGGAGGCATTTTCTTAATTAAGGTTCCCTCCTCTCAGATGACTTTAGCATGTTTCAAGTTGACATAAAAGTATCCAGCACATAGACATAAAATAGAAACAACACAAAAAGAACATCATGGACATTAGCAAATACTTTTAAGACTTGGGAGCAACTTTCATTTCCTTGTGCATGAATTTCTAAGTATTTCCAAATGTTCCGTGATGATGTGCTTCGTCAGGGAAAAGACGGTAGTGTTCTATGTTTATCTCTGTACCTGAGGAAATTTTTCACACTTGCTGTTTCTTTGAGTCTCTGCTGATTCATGGAACAGGACTGAAGGGATAAAATAACAGGAGAGAAATCTAAGTAGGTTTTCTCCTGTCGTGCGTCAAACTACAGAAACTGCTGGCCCCCAATAGTGGCTCTGTGGTCTGCACTTTCACAAATTGAAGCCAGAAGTAATTGCACTTTGTCTGTTTCTTTGCACCCCAGTGCCGCCTCTACGACCTGCGGGCGGATAGAGAGGTCGCCATCTACTCCAAGGAGAGTATCATATTTGGAGCATCGAGCGTGGACTTCTCCCTCAGTGGTAATATTTTATTTCAGAAACTTCTCCAGGACTGTAGGATAGACCTAAAAAACCAACCATCTCTCTGCCTACCTTCTCATCACCGAATGTTCTGTAGGGCAATGTGCTCAGGTGACCTTCAGATACCCCTCCCTTCACCTCATCTGCTGGCCCTTTGTGCTCTGAAATACCCTACAGCTGAGAGGCAGCTAGCAGAAGCCAGGCCAGGGCTGATGGGCCACTCACCTGTTCTGAGTCTGTGCCTTTGCACACAAAATTGCAGCCACTTTATGGCACCTCTACCCAACTCAACTGCTCAGCCCTCGAAAGCATGGATCACCTTGCTTTAATCTCTGTAAACTCAAATTGAAGGTTTAATGGCAGGAGTGTTCCTGCTTCCTCTAAGGCCCAATGGAGTACTACACACACATGAGGCTGGCATGGTAGCTCCTACCACAAGATATTCCTCTCTGTCCCCTGACTTCCACAGATGACAGTGACAGCTTTCTTCTGAATTGCAAAGGCAACATACATTGCCTGCCACAGAGTGGGCCTAGATGAATCTATATTTATTGGACGGATTGGTAGATGAATGGGAGGGTGGGTGGATGGATGGATGGATGGATGGATGGATGGATGGATGGATGGATGGATGGGAAAATTCATGAGTGAGTGAGTAAATAGGTGGGTGGGGGGATGAGTGAGTGAGTGAGTGAGTGATCGAGAGTGAGTGAATGACAGTCAAGGAAGGAAAAACAGGAACTGGTATAACCATTGTGTCTTCTGCTCCCAGGTCGCCTGCTCTTTGCTGGATACAATGACTATACCATCAATGTCTGGGACGTTCTCAAGGGCTCCAGGGTCTCCATCCTGTTTGGACACGAAAACCGTGTCAGCACTCTTCGAGTTTCTCCTGATGGGACAGCATTCTGCTCAGGATCATGGGACCACACCCTAAGAGTAAGAGATGTCCCGTTTTCCTGAGTGAAAGGAGAGGAAGGACTGGTGGCCTTCCTAAGACAGGATGTCAGCCAGCCTTTTCATGTCCAGAACTACAGATGCCGGGCGTGGAGGGGGGGTGTCTCTGGGAGGTTAGGAGCTTCATCCACACGGGCCTTCAGAAAGTCCAAGAGAATCGGCATGGTGTGGAAAGAATAATGGCGCTCGATAACCCAAATGTTTTGTTTGCCGCTAATTGCCTGATTGATTGTGATTCTGTCCTTGAGTAAGCCACAAGTTCCCAGTTGCTACTCCCTGTACTGAAGGGTTCTCCATACCAGCACAGATGTCATGTGTCAGGTCACAGCCCCTGTGAGGTGGCGAAGGCCCCTGGGATGATGTATTGATTATGTGACTACTATTGCAGGAAAGGGGCCTTAGATCAGACTTTCAACTCCCCGAGAGTCCCACCACCATAGCAAAAGGCAAGGAGGTGGGCATCAGGTGTTCCCGGAGCATGGGAGTGCTGAGCACATTGCTCGTTGCTATGCAAGATCCCAAATCTGAGAGAGGCTTTTGTGAGGGTTTAGGGACCTAGTTTGAGAGGGATCTTTGGATAAAGACTTGGCTAAGCTTGGACATATTTGGAGCACAATAATTTTAACATTGCTAGACAGACAGTAAGGGGCAGATTTTTTTTTTGAAACAGGGTTTCTCTGTATTGTTTTGGAGGCTGTCCTGGAACTCGATTTGTAGACCAGGCTGGTCTTGAACTCACAGAGATCCGCCTGCCTCTGCCTCCCGAGTGCTGGGATTAAAGGTGTGCGCCACCAATGCCCAGCTAAGGGGCAGATTTTAAAGAAAGTCTTAGAGGGGCCAACAAGATGTCTCAGTGGGTAAAGGAGCTTATTGCCAAGCCCAACAGTAGTAGGAGAGAACTGATGCCCACAGATTATCCTCCGACCCGCTCATGCGCACCACAGCATACACATGCCGGAGTATACAGACATATACAAACTAGATGATAAATGAATGAAAATATTTTAATAAGGTCTTAGAAAGTAAGCAGTCCCTCATGTTCTGTTTATTTTAATGGGAGTAGGTTGAATGTCTAGTTTTAGGACAAATAGATAAAAAGGGTTTTTTGCAATGTTACAAAAGCAAAGCTTAATAGGGAGGCGACGGGGAACAACAGTGAGCTGTGAGGATGTACATGGTTCAGTTCTCAATCTGAGGGAGTCACTTGTGGCTGGTGAGCAGGTGGCAGAGGCCCTGCAGACGGTGAACTGAGGGCTAGGTGTCAAGCATGCTGAAGCCCACCAGAGCCCTGTTTGGTGGAGTGTGCATGAGTGTGTGTGTGTGTGTGTGTGTGTGTGTGTGTGTGTGTGTGTGTGTGTACAGCCTGATTTCCTCTTTTAAACTTAAGTTTTATCAATTATCAACTACTAAAAATGACCTATCTGTGTCTTCTCAGGTTTGGGCATAATCCTCTCAACAGTGTACATGAAGAACGTGTCCTTCCCTGTAGACATGACTTCTAGAGGAGCCCACGGGTTAACTTATGGGAGCAACTTCACGGCTCAGTACTCACTCAGCCCCTCCAGTGTCACCATGGAAACCGTCCCCTCCCCGTCAATGTGCTCCTGTAGGCCTTGGCACTTCAGCCGTCCCTGAAGTCCGTGTTTCACGCATCTCCAACACTTTGTAAAATCTGTCTTTGAAGTTATTCCAACTGACAGAACTCCACATTGATCAGCACGTACAATGTCCCTCATTGCTTCCTTGAATTTGGTCTGTCTTCAGAGCACTTTAAACTCTACCTTTTCTTGGCGTGGACTGTGGCTTCTAGAACCTTCCTCTGGACATGCCAGCTGTATGGACTGTGAGAACGACTGTTCCCTGGTCTGTCATAGAAGAAAATTCCAGTTCCAAATGTGACTACACAGATTCACTTTTTAAAACTTTTTATGTAAAAGTATCTTTTTTTCCAACCTGTTCAGTTGTATTTTTTAGATGAAATGTTTTTGTCTGGGAAAGCCTTTAGACATGAAGTAGACTTGTGCAGAAAACAGGCCATGTGTTTGACCTGTGATGCTGTGATAGATGGTGGTCTAGGGCGGGACATCTCCCCACACTTGAGGGGAAACTGATTGCCATTTATAGCACAAATGCTTCTGAGAGCGAACAGAACCTTCTGGTATGTGAAGACAAGACACACGATGGGTTTAAAAGCCTGCTAGTAGCAATATCAGAGATGCCTGAGTCAAAGCGGGTGCTGCCCATGTAAATAAGATGCGAGTGTCCTGCACAGCAGTTATACAGACTGATGGGCAGGTTATGAATAATAGTGTCTTTGCTATCAAAGGGGTATCCTGTCTTTATTTGAATCAGTAATTCCTTCTAGATGCTACTGGCTGCTTCTTATTACAAGGTCCCTGCTGTCTCTTCCTTTTTTTTTTCTTTTAAAAGTGTAGAGGTTCTTTTAGAAATATCTACTAACATATCACGTTAATACAAGTGGTGGCACGCAATTTTAAGTTCAGGTACTTGGTGTGTGGGGGGGGTGGCAGGAGGACAGGAGAAGGGCTTGAGCCCAAGAGCTCAAGACTAGCCTCAGCCACACAGTGAGACCTTGTCTTTTCATTGTGTGTGTGCCTGTGTGTTGCTTTGCTATGTCTTGATTATTATATTTATTTATTTATCCATTATTCTGTTCATTTATTTATCCTGTGTGTGTGCAGGTGACTACACGTGCCTCAAAGCACATGTGTATGTCAGAGTGCAACCAGTGAAAACCTGTTTGCTCCTTCCACCACATGGTGCCTGGGGACGGAACTCAAGATCCTCAGGCTGGGTAGCGAGTCTCCTTACCTGCTGAACAGTCTCACGGCTGCTTGCTTTGTTTTTCATGAGACAAAGTGTCTTGGTTAGGGTTTACCACTGCTGTGGGGAGACACCGTGACCACAGCAACTCTTATAAGGAAACATTTAATCGAGGGGGCTCACGTACAGTTCAGAGGTTCAGTCCATCATAAGCATGGTGCCAGGCAACAGGAAGTCAACTGTCTGTCACGCTGAGGGAAGTTTGAGGAAAAGACCTCAAAGCCCGCCCGCACACTGACACACTTCCAACAGAAGCTGTGGCCCCAACTAAAGGCGAGGCCTCCAGCCTCAAGGTCTGGACTAAAAGTGTGCATCAACCAGACTCCTCCAACAAGACCACACTTACTCCAACAAGGCCACACCTCCTAACAGTGCCGTTCCCTATGAGCTTATAGAGGGCAGATACATTGGAACTAGCACGCAAGCTCTCCTGTATCCCAGGCTGCCCTCAAACTTGTTACATTGCCAAGTAGGATCCTAAGCTTCTGTGCCCTCTGCTGTTCCTCTTGGGTGCTGGAACACTGGATTGGCCAGCAATACACCACACACACTAAAACTGTAGGCACACCGATGGGACCAAACCCATCCAACATGATTCAGAAGCAGCCGAGCTACAGCCCCAGCCCCAAGACTCCATCTTTAAAAAGAGTTAAAAAAATCTACTGGGAATCAAAGGTCACCTTAGACACTGGTAATCATTCCTGGGTAAAACTGGCACTGTGTGTGGCCCTGGGCATCTGACCAGTCAAAGATTTGCTGTCCCTGAGAATCAGGGAGGGTGTGTATCCCCAGATGGCCTGGTCCCCTGGCTTACCCTCCTCTGCCTGGCTCTCTGCTTAGTGTTGCCTTTGCCCCAGACCCCTGTTCCTCAGAGAGACCCTCAGAATGCAAGAAAGAACATTCTTCCAGCCGTCAGGTGCTTGCTCCTCTCACTTCAGCAGTCTCTTTGAAATTGAGTGAGAAACGGCACATGTATTTTTGTTGTGTTGTTAGTATTATTTAAATGTCCCTTAGGAGGCCTGAAAGAGTCTCGGGGACATAGGATGGCTCTCTTTGCTCCTCAAGGTGTCTACCCTGGATTAAAGCAGGCCTCTAGAGACAGAGGACAGGGACCAGGACAGCTGGGCACAGATGACCACTGGGAAACGGCCTCTGAGGAAACTTGGGGCATCACAGAAAGTCAAAAAGGAGCCCCTAAGATGATCCACAGGGGCTGGAGCCCAGCAGGCCTGTAACCTATTAGAGCAGGGGTTCTCAAGCTGTGACTCCCTTGGGGGTCGAACATCAGGTATCCTGAACTTCAGGCATTTAGGATTCACAACAGTAGCAAAATTACAGTTATGAAGTAGCAACAAAATATTGTTGGGAGTCACCATTGTACTAGAGATGTGTTCAAAGGAGGATAGCAGGGGTTCTAGGGAATGTAGCTGGCAGATCAGAGACAGGCAAGAGTCAGGGGCTGGGGCCACATTGCCTCCTCCAACCTAGGACAGCTGCTTTGCAAAATGATTTCCATAGCCTCATTTTCCAGTCAATAGCAAGTTAAAACACAGCTTCTAGCTGGGCTTGGTGGCACAAGCCTTTAATCCCAGCTATTCAGGAGGCCGAGGCAGGAGAATGACAAGTCCAAGGCCTATCAACCCCTAGAAAGTTCCAGGTCCCAGCTGTTGTTTCTCAGTCCACCATCACAGGCCTCGCTCCTCGCAACAGGTGCAAGTGGGATTCCCAAATGTCTTGCGGGATGGAGGCAGGAAGCAGCTGAGCCTAGAAAGCCTGGTGGTGATTCGGCTGGGTGCAGAGGCTGAGATGGCCGACCCGCTGCGGGTCCGCACTAGACTGCTGCTAACTGACTACTTGACGTTCTGTGCACGGGAGCCGGGTGACCCCGAGCCACCGCCCACGTCGGCAGAGGCGGCCTTGCTGCGCTCTGTGGCAGAGCAGATCCAACAGCAGCACCACTTTTTTTTTCTCCTCCTTCGTCGGCTACCAGGGCAACCGCGTGGAGCTGATGACACAGATGGTAGACGCCGTGCTCCCCGATGGCCAAGACCTCAACTGGGGCCGCCTGGTGTTGCTCTTAGCCTTTGCGGGGACAATTGTGAGTCAAGAGCAGAGAAACCGTCTGAAGGATAAAATGAAAGTGCTCCAAGACTGCCAACTCATAGTGGCCTTGCTGTGCAATCGACTCCTGAGGCGGCATCGCTCCTGGCTGGAGGCTCAAGGTGGCTGGGTGAGAGCCCAGAGGGGGAGTGGCGGAGGGGGAGGGAAGGGGGAGGGAGCGGTAGGGTGGGGGGGTGCCCTAATAAGGCCCTCAGAGACCAGGAGGGCTTCAGCTGTACTGTGCAGTCCGATTTTATTTTCTTTACTATTTTTTTCCTAAAGTCAGGGTCTCATGTAGCCCAGGCTAGACTCATTACATAGCCTCCTGTCGCTGTGGACCTCCTGCTTCTATCCTAAGAGCACTACAGTTACACTGCTATGATGGGTTTATGTGGTGCTGGATGTGGACCAGCAGGGCTTTGAGCACGCCAGGCAAGCATTCTCTCTGAGCCGTGTTCCCAGCCCGAGGGTTTCCTTACAGGCACTCAGACTGCCCATGCTCGATAGTTCTCATAAAAATCATCCAGGGGTAGCTAACCCTAACCCTTACCCTCAGGACCTTCAGGGAGGGCTTGTGAGGTCTGATAGGCCCAAGTAGGAGAAAGGGAGTTGTGGTCACACCCAGGCTCTTGGGAGCTTCCTCTCATTCTCCAACCCTTTAGGAGACGGAAGTCCTAGGGGTGGTGAAATGTGTGTGACCACCAAGGGGGGCCCCTGAGTGGGGTCTTTACTTCTGGCCCACTACACTTTTCCCTGCGGGGCATCCCCCAGGCGCCTGGCTTCCTGTTGGTCCTTAATCTCTGGTGTACGCTAAAGAGGCAGCTACTGATCAAGGAAAACACCCAGAATGGGAATAAAGCTTGAGGGTAGACTGTTAGCATCTGTGAGGCCCTGGGTTTGATGCCCAGCACCACCAGGGAAAAAAAGAAAACCAAAAACTAGTTTAGCCCACACGCTGAGCTTGGCCTCGGGTTTCAGGTTTCTTTACTTCCCTCCTCGTTAGCGTTGACTCAAAACTGAGGTGAACAAAAGGATGGGATACATGTAACTTAATCATTAAAACCTGCTATAAGGGGCTGGAGAGACCGCTCAGCGGTTAAGAGCACTGACTGTTCTTCCAGAGGTCCTGAGTTCAATTCCCAACAACCACCTTGAATGAGGTCTGGTACCCTCTGCTGGTCTGAAGGCAGAAGGCTGTATACACAATAAATAAATAAAATATTTTTTAAAAACCCGGCTATAAAAACAAAACAAAACCCACCCTCCTACCAGCAGTCTGTATTTAGAGCACCTGAGAAAGAAAGGCCGTGTGACTGTGACGTGTTAGCAGTAACTCCTGGCCTACTCTGATGTTTGGGCCTCCACTGGGCCGGAGGACAGCCTTCAGCTCTCTGAGCTCTCTGAAGAGATCATTAAGGCAATATTGATTTCTCCCTCTGCCCCCTCTCTCCTCTTCTCCCTTTCCCTCCTCACTCCTCCCCTCTCTCTCATAAGCTCTCAGTATTTGGGAGGGTTCATGAGGACTGTCAAGGCAGATTTTCTTTTGGGTAAGAGATTCATTAGCAAAGTTACTGATACCATGGAGGGACAGCATGGGGGGGGGTCTGCATAGAGTTTAGATCAATGAGTCTCCTCTTAATAGGTTTCAGAGGAATGAGGAGGTCCCATGCCACATAGTGGTGAGCATGTGATTGTAGTTGGGTTGTCACTGCTTCCAGAGCAGCAGAGGAAGGGGGGGAAAGGTTGACTCCTTTAGGTAATGTGTTCATTATACAGGATTTGCTACCATAGTCCCTGATTGCCTAGGCTCAGGGAGCCTGGTTAGTGATCTCCTTTTGGGGAAGAGAGGCTTACGATTCACAGGCTGCCTCTCAATGAGGTGCCTGCTATTGCTTTCCTCTAAGGGTAAAGGTAGAGAACGCAGCTGCAGCAAGTGACTGTCCAGTGTAACCTTCCCTGCCCTTTTGTCTTGGGGTGACAGGCACTGAACTCAATCTCTGGTTGGGGTGGTGCGGAGTGAGCACATCTCCCATCTCGGGATATCTAAGTCAGAGACTGGTGCCTGGATTGGCACAATGGAGGGACATCGTCCGCACAAGCCTGTGTGACGTGCCACATGCAGCAGTCTGGATGAGTTAAGATGGGCAGCGTGCTAAAGGGGGGACCACAAGGGAAGTCCCTGGTGTGTTTTGAAACCATTTTGAATTTGATTTGTAGAGTAGGGTCAAGGGTGAATACAAGGGCTAAAGACAGGCAGGTGCCATCAAAGGAGGAATGCCCAAGGTTTTTCAGTTTTATTGGAGGTTGTGAGGAAGGTATCAGAGAGCAAAGAGGGGCTTTTTTTTTTTTCTGGCTTTTTACGAGACAGGGTTTCTCTGTATTGTTTTGGAGGCTGTCGGTCCAGCCCTGCCTCCAACTCAGAAATCCGCCTGCCTCTGCCTCCCAAGTGCTGGGATTAAAGGTGTGTGCCACCACCGCCCGGCGAGGGGCTTTAATAGAGTTCTCCTAGATGTAAAGTATGAGGCGTTATGAGGCATCTCTGCCATGTGGGACAGTTAGATGTAAAGTATGAGGCGTTATGAGGCATCTCTGCCATGTGGGACAGTTAGATGCTTGCTTCTGCCCAAGTTGAACTGCTGTGAACAAATCATATGAGATGTCTGGAAGCCACACGCCTTTCATTTTATGGCATGATCTAGAACCTCCCATGTATTTTGGAGTTTTTCATATTGAACAGTGGCCAGGGCCTTATGCGTGCTCACCACATGTTTGACCTCCAAGCTCTACGCTAGCCCTTCCTGTGAATTTTTTTTTGATATTTTTATTGTGTGAGGATGAGTACCTGAATGTGTTCCATGTGCCATGTGCATGCAGTGCTCAGGGGGGCCAAAGGAGGGTGCCAGATCCCCTGGACCTGGAGTCACAGACATTGTTAGCCACCATGTGAGTGTTGGGAACTGAACCCAAGACAGACAGTGCTCCCTCTGTCAGCCCCACCTTCTGTGTATTTGGGACTCAGGTTTATCTATGGGGAGGCAGTCTAATGCTCCTCTTATGCCCCTTGCAGGATGGCTTTTGTGTCATCTTTGGGAGTCCCTTACCACTCGATTTTTGGAGCACACTGCTGATCAAGACTTTTCTGTCCTGTGTCATTGCAACAGCCATCCTGTTTGTCTGGAAAAGACTATTATAAGTTTTAAAAATTTTATGATTTTACCTGCCTAACTGTGGCCCACCAAGGGACAATTTTAGATGACTGGATAAGAATTGAGGAAACCTCCTGCTAGAGACATTTTTATCTGCATGCCACGTGGAGTCCTGAGGTTGGGATGGGGCCAGCATTCGGAGGGGATCCTAGTGGTCTTAGGGGTATGTCACTCCAAAGAACTTGAGAGGAAACTGCCCCCACTCATGAGATGCTCTGCTGTCTGCATTTGACTGGAAGCACACCAGAGCCTCTCCCATCTGTTCTGACGTTCTTGAGCCACTGTTCAGTAGCCAGGGTTCCAGGCCAGAGGATCCATCCTAAAGCAACAAAGTCCCAGAGCAATGAGGAATGGAAAAGGAAACCCTATGGATGCCTTGGAAACCTAAATCTTTCTGTGCCTAATCCCTAGGACGTCTGAATTTATAGTGTCCCTCTCTAATAAAGTCTTGCATAACTTCAAATTTTTAATAAATGTATATACATTTTTTTCAACAAAGTCTGGATTTTTCTCTAATTCAGCAAGACTTGTTCTTGAGAGTGACTTGAATCGATGACAGTTTCCTTTTATTGTCTCCTTCTCTATAAACCAGGGTGTGGTTTACATTGCTGTGGGGTTAATTTTTATCTTTATAATGTATATTCATGTTATGCTTGTATGTATATCTGCATACCACATATGTGTCTGGTAACTGTGTGGCCAGAAGAGGGTGACAGATTCCTGGAACAGGAGTTACAGACAGTTGTAAGTACCATGTGGGTGCTGGGAATCGAACAAGGGTTCTCTGGAAGAGCAGCCAGTGCTATCTCCAGCCTTATGGATGCTTTTAAACATGTAATCTACATGAAAGTTCTTAAATCATTCCTCTTTTCCCTTCCACACTCTGGTCTGCTCAAAACCTGTAGGGTGGCAGGCAATGTGCCCTTCAAGCCTCCCTGGCCATTATTAACTTTTCATAAAACTGAGTCCACGTGTGCTGTGTGTGCTGTGTGTGTGTGTGTGTGTGTGTGTGTGTGTGTGTGTGTGTGTGTACCACAGTACGAACTGGAGGTCAGAAGACAACTTACAGGAAGGAGTTGGTACTCTTTTACCATGTAGTTCCCCAGGTTGGAACTCAGGTCATCAGGCTTGGTGGCAATCACCTTTACCTGGTTAGCTAGATCTCTGGCCTTCTTTTTCCTCTTCCTACCATGAGATTTCTAGGGAAATTCCAATTCTAGGGAGTCCCTTAAAGAAGGGAAATCAAGGCCTATGTGGCAGAAGTGTGATTCTCTTTGATACCTTTCTGAGACTGGGGGAAAGGTACAAGCCCTCAGCTAACCGATTCTCAGGCAGTAGGCAGAGGGTGGGGACCTGGATCCTAACATCACATCCTGACACTTCTGTTCTGTGCATTTGTATTGAGATAAAATTCACACAACACAAAATTCTTAGCATTTTAAAGCATGCACTTTGGTGGGTTTTAGTGTTTGCAGTATCGTACACCATCACCCTTTGTTTAATTCCATCACTCAAACAAAAAGCCCACACCATTAACACTCTTCTGATCCTCCCCTCCCCAACCCCAGCAACCTCTAATCTACCCTCTGCCTCTGAATCTGCCTCTTCTGGACACTACCTAGCAATGGAACCAGACAGCTCGTGGCTTTTTTGTGTCTGATTTCTTATTTAGCCAAGTGTTTTCTAGGCTTCCGCACAATGTAGCATGTCAAGACTTGGCTCCTGAGCAAGGCTAATGCTACATAGTGTTTACCACACACAGCTAACCGGAATGTGGGTGGCTCTCACTCATAGGCCAGTATGAGTGTGGTGCTCTGGGCATGCTTTTACGTGTTTTTATGTGGAGTTAGGCTTTCAGCACTCTTGGTTGCAAGCCTCGGTGGGATTGCTGGGCCTTGTGGTAACTGCAGGCTTGGTGTGCCTGCGGCAGGGAGACTAAAATGTTCTTAGCAGATGCACCACTTAACATTCCCACCAGAAAGACATGGGGTTCCAACTCCTTCCACGGTGAAACCTCAGGGTAGCAAAGGGAAACCAGGGAGAACTACCTGGACAGGATCAGGGGAAACACAACTTGTGTTTAAAATACAGACGACAGATGGCTTCTCCTGGGCTTCCCAGATACCATGTAGCCACCTGCCCTGATTTGGTGACAGCTAGAAAGGATAGTCATCTCCCACACAAGGCCAGGGGTCTGCGCTGTGTCCTCAACTCTTCTCTGCAGCCAAGTGCTTCTGTGAAGCCAGCGCTTGGCACTGCCTGCCCTGAGGCCTTCATGCCTGGCCTGGTGCTCCGCTCAAATGGCTAAAAGTATCAGTTTGTGAGATTTTAACTTTATTTTTATGTATATGCATATGTCTATATCTGTGTGCACATATGTACGTGGTGCCATGAAGATGAAAAGAGGCGTTTGGGCCGGGCGTTGGTGGCGCACGCCTTTAATCCCAGCACTCGGGAGGCAGAGGTAGGTGGATCTCTGTGAGTTCGAGGCCATCCTGGTCTACAAAGCGAGTTCCAGGACAGCCTCCAAAACAATACAGAGAAACCCTGCCTCGAAAAACAAAAAAACAAAAAAAAAAAGAGGCGTTTGGATCCCCTGGACCAGGAGTTATAGGCAGTCGTGAGCTGCCGGAGCCAAATCCCCATCCTCTGCAAGAGCAAGAAGCATGCTTACCAGCTGAGGCGTCTCCCCAACCCATGTTTTCTGTATGTTAATGTCTCAGAACCACAAATGGATGAATGAATAAAGAGATAAATTTGAAAACATTTCCTGAGGCCGCCGATAGACTCGGAAGACTGCACATGAGAATCTCGGGAAGTGCTTTTAAACTCTGGGTGCCTCTGTCTGCCAGTCTCGGTGGCACATGGCTCTCGAGGTCCCCCATGTGGCTCTAATACGAAGGAAGGATTGTGCCCCCGGGGCTTTGAGCAATTTTACTAACCAAACAACTGACAGTTAACATGTATAAACCCTTTTCTGTTTGAGCCTAACTAGTTTCCTTGACCCCGGCAAGATTCCGATCACTTTTAAGATATTTAAGGGTGTCCATTATGAATTGCTGAGAGGCTTTTTTTTCCCAAAAAAAATTCTATGCAATTTAATTGAAAGAGTCAAACAGTTCAATATGGTCTATTACAAGAAATGACAGGAGCTAGTCTCCCCTTGACAATCAGTCCTACAGGAAACTTCCTGTTCTTCCCATGGGTTATTTACTTTCTGCCTTGATCTTTATTTTTGTTTTGTTTTATTTTGAGATGGGGTCTTATGTTACCCAGGGTGGCCTTGAACTTGATACGTTGCCAAAGATGACTTTGCCTGCCTTTGAGCTTCTACCTCCCAAGTGCTAGCTAGGATCGCAGATGCCCACCGCCACACCCAGCCGGCTCCTGTATCTTTAAGTAGAAGGCCTTTCTTGATTTCCAGTTTGAGACATTGTGTTTATCTTTACACTCCCAACCCATCTCTTGCCATCCCCTAGCCCCACCCGATGTAATTATATCATAATTTTACTTCAATCACTATTCATTATCCATACTACAAGTTCTCATGCTATTCTGAACTGAACCATGTAATCAGCTAAAATTACTTCTTTCTCACACTTTATTTCCTTGAGTTAATAATTGCCTCAGTCTTTTTATACTTGATTAGTTTTGGATTAGTTTTGTATAAACTTTTTAATGCCCTATCCTTAAGTTCGCTAATGTTGTGGAAATCTCTTCTGGAGATATCGTTTGTTTCCATTAGGTTTCTTGTGTGTGATCTTGCAGGGTCTCCAAATCTGCTCAGAGCCCAGGCTGTCCTTGTCCTCTGCTCCAGGTCCACAGCCACCACACTGCAGTGTCCTGACTCAGGATCCCTCGCCCTCTCCTCCCCGTGGAGTCTCCTGGTTCTGGCCTTGCTCCTTTTCCGTCTATGGTCCTTGTTTTGCTGGAGTACATCCCGCAGCGTCCTGACCAGGGGTAGACGGGAAGGAGACTGCTTGCATCCTTGTGTGTCTGAGCATCTTGTGTTACTCCCAGTTACCGCTTCCTCCAGATGGACAGTTCTAGATTGCTCATGTCATCCTTCCAGGATTTACAGGCGCTTTTCCATTTTCTTCCAGTTTTCAGGGTTTTCCCAGCATGTGTAGTGGGGGTGAGTGTAAAGAGAAGCCTTCCCGCCAGCTTGGTTCCAGAGCCGCATCAGTCCCAAGTAAACACACAGGAGGCTGTATTAATTATGAAGCTGGTGGCCTTGCTTGTTTCTTACTGGCTAGCTCTGACTAATTATTTATCCCATAATTGTTAATCTAAGTATTTCTCTTACCGGAGAAGTTTGGCAGTTACATCTTGACTTCCTGTGTTTCTCCTACCCAGAGTCCTCCTCGACTCCTAGTCCCACCTATCTTGCTTCCCTATTGGCCAACAGTGCTTTATTGACATATACACAGGACTTCCCCCATCAGGTGAAGGTGGGGTCTATGTTTCTACCAGAAGCCAGCAGGGCCTTCTTTTATTTTATTGTATTTATTGTATTTATTGTATTTATTGTATTTATTTATTTATTTATTATGGGATTAGTGTTTTGCCATTGGTTTCAGGTCCCCTGGACCTGGAGTTACAGACAGTTGTGAGCTGCCATATGGGTGCTGGAAATTGAACCCAGGTCCTCTGGAATAGCAGTCAGTGATCTTAACCACTGAGCCATTTTTCCAGCCCCCCCCCCCATGGCCTTCTACTTGACGTGGATTTGGGGAAGGGGGGTTTTCCATCAGGGCTCATCTGTCCTCCTGTCCTGAGAGGGCACCTTGGTGCACTCCTCTGCTTCCCTCTTAGGATTTTCTGTGTTTAGATTCCGGACTTCCTGCATGCTATCTAATTGTATTACTTCCCACCTTTTAATGTTTGCTTTGTTTTCTGGGGGAGCTAGCTGGTGGAATGGAGTTACGATTTTGACAAGGAAAACATTGTGTGGGACAGCAAAATCAGAAGCTGAAGCTTTTTGGGGAGAAGTACACTTCAGCATAACTGTGAGACTATGTTTCCATCCACACACCCACAAAACAAGCAGCTTTGTGCAAGAGTAAATCCGATTTCAAAGATGTACAGTTAGACAATTGCACACCCAGAAAAGGCCCGGTTTGGCTAGGAAAGTCTCCGGCTGAATAAGAGCAGGTCAGATAAAGGAGGACAGGGCCATAACCCAGCCCAGGATCCATGTGTTCCCTGTACCCCTCAGGAACTGGAATGTCCCCCACCAGAGGCCAACCTGCCATTCAACGGCAAAGACTGTTTCTCAGAAGCCAGTTGTCAAAAAGAGAAACTGAGTTTGCTGTGTGTCCCAACTCTGACCAGTCTTTACTGCAGTTATTTATAGTTTTGAGCTGCTTTCCTGTAACTCTGAGAAGCTCTCTAGAGTGGCAATTACCCTCGGAGGCCTGTGACCACAGAGGCTCAACTGCTGGGACCTAGGGCTTGACCCTTAAGGAGGAGAGAGGGTGAAGGGCCAGGGTAA